ATGGGGGAGAGGGGCTGGCACTGGGGTGTCTGGTGGGGGGGGCTTTAAGGGGTGTGAGGCTGGTGGTGCTGAAGCTAGCTGTTTGCAGCAACCCTGGGGGCCAGGCTTTTGTCAGACCAGTAATGTTTTATTTGCATAGCCATTGTTTGCATAACGAATATGTAGACATGCAAATAAAATGTGAGTCGTCTGCCAAAAGTTTCTGAATGGGTTTGCCAGTGTGCAGTATAACATAGATTGGGAACCACTGAGTTAGATCACAGAAATCCCCTTGGGGTTGTCCCCTGAGATGCTAATCATGCCACTGATGCCCAGCTTCCTACCTTCTGAGGGCCACTCTGTCCTGCTGAGCAAGACACTCTGGTCTCCCCCAACCAAGACACAGAATTGGGGTTGCTGTCCCACTGCAGAGCCACACAGATACTGAACCAGTTCATCTCTGGGAGGGCTCAACTATGATGGCTCAGTCCTCAGGAAACCAACCCTCAAAAGGGACCAAAATCCCAAATAATTTTACACGGTGTAGAAGTTTTACATGGAGAAAACTCATATGGTTCACTCATTTTATCAATGAAAGACAGACATGTGCGGTGGTTGCTGCTTCCGCACGTCCCCAAGTCACAATTATTTAAACTAGGCTTGATAAGAAACGAAAGTGATGTACTAAGTATCTAAAGTAGGATTTAAGTGGTTGCAAGTGAAAACAGTCAAAATTAAATTACTAAATTAAAATAAACAAAAATTGCCAGCTAATCTTAATCCACTAAGAAACTTGTCTCATGCAAATTCTTACCCTAAACAGTTGTCCTAAACACCTTTCACAAGCTAAGCAACCTCCTAGCCTGGGCCTGATCCTCGCCCCTGTTCAGTCTTAGACATTTCCAGTAGGCATCTCAGGTAGTAAGTGTTGAGAGTCTCTTGACATCTGGCAACTCTCCCTCCCTCCTCCTCCGCCTTTCCTTTTGTCCAAGGTGAAAAGTCTGTGTGCTCAGTTCAAACTTTTCTTATAACAAGTGGAAAATTCCCAAATCGGTTTCAGCAACAGGTGGCATAATCACATGCCTATTTGTAGGACTAGCCATAGTTTAGGCCTTTAGGAAGAATAAAATAATGAGTCCTTGACCTGATTACTGAGCCAGTAAGTTTCCAGACTATTAGTGCTGGCCCACATTAGCACATTTACAATTATAAACAGATCCACACTTCATATTTCTAACTTCACAGACGAATGATACTTACACAAACATAGCATATAGGCATTCATTAGACTGCAACTTTGAAACTGATACATTACACAAAATATTTTGCCTAAAGCACCTTTAAGTTTTGCATATTCATGATCATCGGCCAATTTTCATAAAGCATTGGGGGCATGACACCTTCCATCTTATCCCATGTCAGCTTTCTTTCTTTACAAACCTTTTCCATGGGGCCTTTTTGAAGGCTTTCTGAAAGTCACACTGCTTGACAACTGATGGAGCTATTCAGCCTTATGCATGTTTACTGACACCCTCAAGAATTCTAATTTCTGGTTGGGCATGAGTCCCCTTTGCAAAAGCTCTGTTCAGCCTTTCCCAAAATATTAGATTCACCCCTATGTCTGATAATGTGTACTGAAGTCAGGCGGTATGTCTACACTACAGCACTAATTCGAACTAACTTAATTCAAATTAGTTAATTCGAACTAAGCTAATTCGATCTAGTGTATCTAGACCTAAAAACTAGTTCGAATTAGCATTTTGCTAATTCGAACTAGCATGTCCACATTGAGTGGACCCTGAACCAAAGTTAAGGCTGTCCGGAAGCAGTGCCGGCAGGGCATCAGGTTAGGACTTAGAGCGTGGAGCTGCTGTCTCAGGCTAGCCGAGGGCTGTGCTTAAAGGGACCTGACCCCCACCCCGGACAGACAGATCTCAGGGTTCCCCGCTTGCTTGTCTACCTCGATGAGGAACAGCAAAGCAGTCCTAACTTGGAGTGCCATGAATGCCCACACTTGGCACATCACAGCACTCGGCCATCAGCCCACCTGCACTTGCCACAGGCTGCCATCCGGGGGGGGGACAATCAGGGGGCTGTCAGGATCCAGGAGACCCTGCAGGAGAGCTTCCACTCCGAGGCACCTGCAGCCCTGCAGGAGAGCTTCCACTCCGAGGCACCTAGCCCCCCTTCCTGATGTAAAAAAATAAAGGACACGTGTGTTCAAAAATAGAGACTCTCTTTATTTAACAAAACTTGGGGGAGGGAGATTAACTTCTGGGGAGACTGGGAAAAGGAGGTGGGAGAGAGGAAGAGAGAGGGTGGAAGAGGGGAGAGGGAAACCTGGGAGGAGGGAGCTGGAAGGGGGAAGCCAGGGGAAAAGGAGATGGGGAAGTATAAAACTATGGTACGCCCACATCTTCAGTACTGTGTACAGATGTGATCTCCTCACCCCAGAAAAGATATTTTGGCCTTGGAAAGGGTTCAGAAAAGGGCAACTAAAATGATCAGGGGTTTGGAACAGGTTCCATATGAGGAAAGGCTAAAGTGACTGGGACTTTTCAGTTTGGAAAAAAGAAGACTGAGGGGGATATGATAGAGGTCTATAAAATCATGAGTGGTGTGGAGAGGGTGCATAAAGAAAAGTTCTTCATTAGTTCCCATAATAGAAGGACTAGATGACACCAAATGAAATGAATGAGTAGCAGGCTTCAAACTAATACAAGAAAGTTCTTCACAAAGCAAATAGTCGACCTGTGGAACTCCTTGCCACAGGAGGCTGTGAAGGCTAGAACTATAACAGAGTTTAAAGAGAAGTTAGATAAAGTCATGGAGGTTGGGTCCATGGAGTGCTATTATCCAGGCGGTAGTAACGGTGTCCCTGGTCTCTGTTTGTAGAAGGCTGGAGATGGATGGCACGAGACAAATGGCTTGGTCATTATCTTCGGTCCATCCCCCCCGGGGTAGCTGGTGTTGGCCATTGTTGGCAGACAGGCTACTGGGCTAGATGGACCTTTGGTCTGACCCAATACAGCCGTTCTTATGTTCTTATGTTCTAAGCTCAGGACTCAGGGTCAGGGGTCTCACTGGGCCACCTTGATTTTCATGCAAACCTGCTCCTGGGTTTGCATGTGGCCTTTGGTGGCCAGGCTGGCAGCTATCCTGACCTAGACGGCCACTTTCCTGTGCCTAGTGCGGAGGTTGTGGACGTTGAAGGCCTCTTCCCAAACCTCGATGAGGTCCACGATCTCTGCACTAGACCAGGCGGGCATCCGCCTCTTGCGGCCCCGGGCAGGCTCCTGGGAGCCACCAGCCTGGTCCCGGGAAGAAGCGGAGGGCTGGGTGGCAGCGTGCCGTGCCAGGTACAGGGTCTGCTGACTGGGTGCTGTCAGGCTTGCACCTGTCACGGGCACCGTAGCCAGACCGTGCCCCTTTAAGGGCTCCTGGACCTAGAGGGGGGCAGAAGAGTTTCCCTGGTTGTGCCCAGAGTGGCCACCAGGGCAAGCTGGGAAGGGCTAGCCTCCCGCTAGTTTGTATTAAGTGGCGACACAGCCCTTAATTCGAACTACTTAATTTGAACAAGGCTTTTGTCCTCGTAGAATGTGGTTTACTTAGTTTGAATTAAACACTCCGCTAGTTCGAATTAAGTTCGAACTAGCGGTTTGCATGTGTAGCACCTATGAAAGTTAATTAGAATTAACGGCTGTTAGTTCAAATTAACTTTGTAGTGTAGACATACCCTTAGGCTGTGTCTAGACTGTAGGGTTTTTTCGAAAAAAAGTAGCCTTTTTTCGAAAAAACTTCACCTGCCTCTAGACTACAGCCGCGTTCTTTCGAAATTAAATCGAAAGAATGTTGTTTTTCTTTCTACGGCGGTACTCCTCATTTCACGAGAAAGAACGCCTTTTTTCGAAAGTGCCTGTCACCATTGAAATAGAGGAAGGGGATTTCTTGATGCCACAAGGAGATGATCCAACCCTGCAGAGGGTCTGGGAACAGGCCCGAGAGCCAAAAGGAGAATGGGAGGAGGATCCTCAGGACTACCAAGGACCCCACTTTGAGTATGAGGGGATTGCCTATACAGAATAAGTAAGGGAAACGACCAGGAAGAGGTGTCACAGCTATTGGTTCCCAAGGCCTATAGGCAGTGGCTCATGGAATTGGCCCATGACAACCCCTGGGCAGGACACTTGGGACCAGAGAAAACCCAGCAGTGGGTGTTACAACACTTTTATTGGCCGGGGGTTTATAAGGAAATCAAAGACTTTTGCTCGTCTTGCCCCCAGTGCCAGTACACCTCTCCTGTCCGAGTACCAAAACCCCGGTTGGTACCTCTCCCCATAGTGGGCGTGCTTTTCGTACGTATTGTGCTAGACTTGGTGGGGCCCTTGGAATGCTCGGGGCGAGGTCATCAGTACATACTGGTCATACTAGATTATGCGACCTACTACCCGGAGGCCGTACCCCTCCGAAAAAAACAACGGCCCCAGTGATAGCGGAGGAATTGATGAAAATGTTCTCAAGGGTTGGATTACCATAGGAACTATTGACCGATCAGGGCCCTAATGTAACCTCCCAGGTGATAGCAGAACTCTGTAAATGGCTCCGAATCAAAAAGATACGGATGTCCGACTGTGTGCAGCTGGTCATACATGTGCAAGCACATGCAGCAGCAAGATGCAGCACATGGTCTCAGGAGCCAGTCCTGCAACATACACAGGCTGCTGCTCGCAGGCTGGGAGGAGGCCCCCACCCACATCCAACCCCTGGGAGGGATGCCCTCCCCCTGCCAACCACTGCCAGAAGCAGACTGGACACAAGGGTGCATGCACAACCCCACACAGACAGAGGAGTGTCGCACGTAGCACATGGCCATTCCTGCAAGTGCAAGGCACCACTCGCTCCTGCAGACTGCAGGTGTGTGTGTGTGTGTGTGTGTGTGTGTGTGTGTGTGCGCGTGTGTGTGTGCGTGCACGCTCCATGGAGGCCCAGGCCACTCCAGACCCCTCTGCCATCCATGGGAGGCCTGCATGTCCCTTGGGTGGAGAAGCAGGCAGGATGGTCCGCTGGGCTCCTCGCCAGTGAAGAGGGACCTGTTATGCAGGCCAAACGTGGCCTTGCTCTTTGGACATCACCGTCCTCTGCTCCAAAGACAGTTGCTCCCTGCTCACAGAGGAGGGCACTCCCTCAGGAACAGTGTGTGCACGGATGACTGACCACCTCTTCCTCTTGTCTTCCACAGCTGGACCAGCCATCGCTGAGGGGTGAGCCACACAAGCCCAGGCAGCCGACTGAAACCAGGGAAGCCACAAGCCGTGGTGGGTGCACCAGGAACTTATGAGGGAGCACATAGGGGTCCTGCATGATGTGCAGCACATCATGGCACAAAGACTCCACGCTGATGCCGAGTGGCATAACTGAGTGTGGGAGCAGCTTGTGCAGCATGGCAAAAACATGTGTGCCACCATCCGGGAAGTGATGGCACACCCGGGTCCTGCCCCTGCTCTTGCTTCCCCTACTCCTGTTCCCCCTGCCCCTCCTGCTCCTGTTCCCCTTGCTTCTCCTGCCATCCCTGACTCTGCTGCAGTCCCCTCCCCCCGCCTGCTCAGCCCTCTGTTGTCCCAGGCCTCACCTAACTCCAAGTTCATTGAGGTCCCTGGACCCGAGATGACACTCCCACCCTCACCACATGCCACTCGCAGCCCTAAGCCTCGCTCTTCCAAGTTCTCAGGCCCCCTCAGCCCTAGTTACTTTTTGTCATAAAAACCAAAATACAAAGGTTTTGTTCAAACCCAAGCTGATGTATTTATTAATTTTACAGGGAATAGGGGCAGGGAGGGGTTGTGTTGGGAAAGGTGTTGGGGGAGAAGACACAAGACCCCCTTGGGGAAGCCCTGGGGAGAGTTACTCATGTCCTTCAGAGAACCTTTCCCTCAGGGCCTCCTGGATGCACACCATGACCTGATAGGCCTAGCAGATAATGGCTGTCCATGGCAGTTCAAAGACCATTCCCTCATGGCCGTCCTTATTCCCCCACCCAGGAAGAAGGCCTCCCCTTTGCTCTCCACAATGTTGTCGAGAACACAATATATCTCGACCATTTTAGGGATCATCTGGCCCACATTGAGGCAAGTCAAGAGGCACGTGAACCGGGCCTTGAGGCACCAAAGGTGCATTCCATCTACATGCGGGCCTTGTTCAGGTGCGCATGAAATAGTTCCCTGATGGGGTCCAGGTGATCAGTGTATGGCTTCATAAGCCACGGCATCAGTGGGTAGGCCACGTCCCCCATGATGAACATCGGCATCTGCACATCCCCAAGTACAAAGTCCCACTGGGGGAAGAATGTGCCAGTTTCCAGCTTGCAGTAGAGGCTAGAGTTCCTAAATATGGGTATGTCTACACTACCCTGCTAGTTCGAACTAGGAGGGTAATGTAGGCATACCGCACTTGCAAATGAAGCCCGGGATTTGAATTTCCCGGGCTTCATTTGCATAAGCGGGGAGCCGCCATTTTTAAAACCCCGCTGGTTCGAACCCCGTGCAGCGCGGCTACACGGGGCTCGAACTAGGTAGTTCGGACTAGGCTTCCTATTCCAAACTACCAGTACACCTCGTGAAATGAAGTTCGAACTAGGAGGGTAGTGTAGACATACCCTATGTGGGCATCATGTGCCTGGTCCAACCACCCAATGAAAATGTCCAAAAACTGTCCCCGGTGGTCGACCAGGGCCTGCAGCATCATGAAGAAATAGTCCTATCTGGTTTTGTATTGGGCCGCTCAATGGTGTGGTGTGTGGATCGGGATGTGGGTCCCATTGATTGCTCCTCCGCAGTTTGGGAATGCCAGGGTAACAAATCCAGCAACAATCAGGTACAGATCTCCTAGGCGGATGACCCTGCGCAGCAAGATGGAGTTGATGGCCCTCACCAGCTGCAGACGGAGACAATGAAACTCACAAAACAGAGAATGAGAGGGAAGTGCCTGAGCCCTTGGGAGATGCTTATCTCCCTCCTCTCCCCCTCAAGCTTCCCAGGAGCCACCCCTTAAGAGGGTGCCCCCCCAGCAAGGAGTTGATGGCCCTCACCAGCTGCAGACGGAGACAATGAAACTCACAAAACAGAGAATGAGAGGGAAGTGCCTGAGCCCTTGGGAGATGCTTATCTCCCTCCTCTCCCCCTCAAGCTTCCCAGGAGCCACCCCTTAAGAGGGTGCCCCCCCAGCAACAGGACTGTGTGAGGGCGGGATGTCACAACGCCCCTCCCCCCCAGATGGGCCTTTCCCCCACTCCCTCATCACTCTCTACTCCTCCTCTTTCCCAAGGGTCCCCCTTTTCCAAGACTCCCGCCCGCCCCACAGGGGGTGCACTCTGACAGTGCCTTATATCCATAAAGAGGATCCCGACAGTGGACTTCCCTACGCCGAACTGGTGGCCCACTGACCGGTAGCTGTCGGGGGTGGTGAGCTTTCAAGGGGTGATGGCGATCCACTTCTCCAGGGGGATGTCGGGCCGCAGGTGGGTGTCGTGTCTCCAGAAGGCAGGGGAAAGCCCGGTATATAGCTCCAATAAGATGGCCTTCCTCATGTGGAAATTTTGGAGCCACTTCTGGTCATCTCACTGCTCCACCACCAGCTGGTCCCACCAGTCTGAACTGGTGTCCAGCATCCAAAATCGCCTCTCATCCAGGCAGTACGGGGGCAAGGGCATTACTGCTGCTTCCAGCCTGAAGGACTCACAGATGGACTCGGAGTCAAGCTGGAACAGGACCGCCAAGATAGTCTGCTGAAACTGCTGCATTACCTGCAGAATGGCTGTGAGGCAGCTCCAGCTCCATGGCACTACAGAACAAAGCTGTGGCATCCCCCCAAAAAAACAGGACAACCACAGCAGGCACTGCTGAAGCTTTGCTGTCCCTCAAAAAGGTCTGCAAGCAGGCAGCAGCATCAGAGAAACAGCTGTCCAGGGAGGTCCCTTTAAGCACGTCTCTCTGCAAGGCTCCGGCATCAGCACCTGGAAGCAACTGGTGACCTAATACCCTGGCTGAAGTGGTTCTGGGTGGCCTTTTCTGAGAAAGAACATCCAATGAGTGAGGGCACTCTATTTCGACAAAGCAGATTGCTTTTTCAATCCACTTTTGCAGTGTGGACCCTCTCTTTCGAAAGAAGGGTTTTTTTTTTTTTTTTTGGGAAGATCTCATCCAAAAAAATCTTCTTTCAAAAGAAGCTTGCAGGCTAGACGTACCTGTGGAGAAAAACCTGGTCAGGAAGAAGACATATCTCTACTCAAGAGAGGTGATAGCTGGGGAACTGGGAATCTAAAAGTAGGTGCCCTTGGAGGACCATGAAGAAGAATATTGATGCTATGGCCCTGAACTATGACAAATATCATCTTTGCTATTGGTGATCCTAACATTAATTTGTTCAGCACAAAACTCCTCATTTTAATTGTCATTATACTAATCCTCTCATTTAACTTTCCAGGCACCAACACTGGTAACCTGACCCCCTATAACATTGCTATAACTGAAGATTCAGAGGGATACTTTTCAATCAGACAAGGGACATCTCTTTCCACAGCTTTTGGGAAAAACAAGCAGATCAGAGAACAAAAGAACATTCTGATACCCACAAAATCTGTTTGACAACTTGTGTTTCCATATGTGCCTCATACAAAGCCTCTTGAGGTCAGTGACAGTATCTCTATTCATTAGGATGGATTCAGCCATGGATGAGGAAATTGTATAGAATAATTCCTTTGTTATTGTTTATATTAATATGAAAGAACGTGGAAGAAATTTATCGGGCTACTAAGAATTCATAAATAAATCCTCTGTGACAGCCCATGACTATTAGTGAAAATGAAAGGAAAATATCAGAAAGGTACTTTTCAAAACTGTTTGCATGAACTATTATGTAGTAGGTAAACATGGGTGGAGAGGTTAAGTCATGCATTAATGGAGAGTTTGTCACTTTAGAATTTCTTTCCGTATATACTAGTTTAAAGTTTGCTCATTCATGCAATAATAACCAAATAGTTAATAATACAATTAGTATGATTTAAGTCTGGGTGAACACTTTCATATTTTGTATTTTGAATTATTTAAAGATTGAAGTGAAGAGTCACAAAATTGTTCCAAAGCAGGAGTGGGAAATCATTTTTGCGATGGGGGCCACTAATCAGTCAGGGGTTGCACTCAAGTGAGAACCAACCAAATAAACAAAAACAAAGACACATTTTACAAGTTCAATTCAAGCTTTTTGTCCCCCACTCTCCTTGAAAATAGTTTTAAGAATTTCACTCATCACTCTAGTCAGTTTATATCTATGTATGTCTACACTACAGGGTTTTTGCACAAAAACCCTTGGAGCATCCACACCTAAAGCCCGTTTTTGCACAAGAACATCTACAGTCAATCGACAAAACAGATGGTTTTTTGCAGTGTAGGTATACCTCCTTCTATGAGTCATAACTCATTTTTATGAAAGAGTTCTTGTGCAAAAAATTGTGTGTGGATACTCAACAGGGGTTTCTTGCACAAAAAAAGAGCCTATCACAAAAAACACAAAAGCCCTGCAGAGTAGACAAAACCTATTTGTTCTTTTGTTTGATATTGGAACTTAAAAGAATTAATTCTTCTGCCTCCCTGGTATTTATCCCCCTGATATAGCTATAAACTGTAGTCATCTCTCATCTTCAGCCTTCATTTGGTTAGAGTAAATAAGCCAAACTCACAGCACCCCCCACTTCACCACACCTGGCTGTATTAGTTGATCACAGGATGACCATGAATCACCAATGTGATGCAGCTGTGAGAAAGGCTAAAACAAGCCTAGGGTGTATCAGATGATGCATTTCCATCACCAGTGACACTTCATCTGGAGTTTGGTGTGCAATGTTGGTCTCCCATGTTTGAGAAAGATTAATTAAAACTGGATTGTGTGCAAAGAAGGGCTGTAAGAATGATCAGAAGAATGGAGAACCTACCTTAGAAGAGAAGACTTGAAGGGCTGTGTCTAGACTGGCATGATTTTCCGCAAATGCTTTTAACGGAAAAGTTTTTCCGTTAAAAGCATTTGCGGAAAATCATGCCAGTCTAGACACAGCCCTTCAAGTCTTCTCTTCTAAGGTAGGTTCTCCATTCTTCTGATCATTCTTACAGCCCTTCTTTGCACACAATCCAGTTTTAATTAATCTTTCTCAAACATGGGAGACCAACATTGCACACCAAACTCCAGATGAAGTGTCACTGGTGATGGAAATGCATCATCTGATACACCCTAGGCTTGTTTTAGCCTTTCTCACAGCTGCATCACATTGGTGATTCATGGTCATCCTGTGATCAACTAATACAGCCAGGTGTGGTGAAGTGGGGGGTGCTGTCTGCTCTGTATCCCGGGGTCCCCCTGTGTTGTGATGTGTGATTCCCACTGACTCACCCACACATTGTGATGTAGTGTCAGTACCTTGCTGGTTGCTGTGCTTGGGCTGTGGGCCGTGGATGACCTCTACTGGCCTCTGCCTGTGGGCACTGCCCAGCAGGTGGGCTGCCTAAGTCAGGTAGACAGAGACCCAACCGGTCAGACGAGTTGGGGAAGCGAGGGAACTAGGGAAGTGAGTGTTCGGGGGAAGGGTCTGTCTTGGGTGAAAACCATGAAGGCGACAAACTAAGGAGGGGGCTGGAATCTAGTGGCCTAGGAACCCCATCTCAAGGAGTCTGAGGTATCCTGGCCCAGACTCCTGTAGACACATCACGTCTATGTTGTGCTGTATCCTGGAGAAGCAATAAATCCTCTATTCTACCTGCTGACGGAGTCTGTTCTTGCTGCTACGGGGGTGCAGAGTCGGGGAAACCCCGACTGCACCGTCACACCAGGTCTTTCTCCTCTTCTATCATTTCTAACTGGTACAACTCCACATGGGGGGGAGGGGCGAGGGGATCTTCATTTTAATCTGAATGCATGATCTTGTGATTCCTACTATTAAATTGTAATCCATTTCTATTATTCTGGTTTCCAAGGCCATCTATGTTATCTTGTATGATATACTGATCCCTTTAGTACTGGTAATAACTCCCAAGTTTTAATCATTCAAAAATTTTATTAGCACACACCAACTTTTTCTGCCAAGGTCATTAATGAAAACAAAATGTTAAATAAGGACATGTCTTCACTCTATGGAAGATCGATGCTGCAGCGATCAATCTTCAAAAGTTCAGTTTATTGAATCTACTTAAGACTCACTAAATTGAACTCAGAGGATGCCCCAACTGGCATTCGTTACTCCTCCTCTTGTGAGGAGTAAGGGAAACCAACAGGAGTGTTTGCTCCACTATGGTGATGCTGCCAACCAGGCTATGTATTTTCCATGGCTGTAGTTGCATATCTTAAGCCAAGTTGTTAGGAATAGTGTAGACTTAGCCTAAAATTGATTCCAATACAGATTCCTTAAGGAACTTCCTCTAGCCTGACATGTCACCTTTTAATGTGATCATTGAATGTACCAGCTTCTTAGCCATCTTTCCATTCTCATATTAATCCCAATCTTTTTTTTTTCAATGTGACCAGTAATTTCCCATGTAGAACTGTATCAACTGCCTTACCGATGTCTAGGTAGGTCACATTCACTGCAATTCCTCTGCCTATGAAATCTTCATAATTTTCTCACTTCGCCTAACTATTTTATGGAGAACTGCAGAGTTTTGTCTCTGCTAGGTTTTTACTGTGATATCTAATGCATTGTATTTATCTCACTTTTTTGGCAATGACAGCAAATCTTTTGAGTTAGAACTGCCTCTACTTCCAGTTTGCTTTGTCTGCACTAAGATTTTACAAGAGCCTAAATGATATAAAATAGCTATCTCATTGCAAGTAACTCATCTTTGTACAAGTGAGTATCTTAGGGTGTGTCTAGACAGCACCCTTCTGTCGAAAAATGCTATGTAATTTGTGCTATGCAAATTGTGTAGCTTACTCTGAGTCTAAATTGAAAGAGCTTATTTTGAAATTTGGCACTGTGTAGACAGAGCCAAATTTCAAAATAAGGCATTTTTTCTGACAAATCCCTTAACCTTCCTGGAGCGAGGGTTACAGTGCTGCCAGAGAAGCACGTCTACTATTTAGGAAAAATTGCAGTCACTTTTAAAAATGCAGAATAGTGATAGAAATGTAGCCATGTTAGTCTGGGGTAGCTGAAGTAAGGAATGAACAAACACTCAAACTATCTTACCCATTACCAAGATAGCTTCCCCAATTATCACCTCTAATACCATTAGCTCGCAAACATCCCCCTCTCCCCACCTCTAATATCATCAATTCACAGACACTTACCTTCCTTCCTTCCCCCCACCCCGCATCCCCCTCCTGTTCTGAAATGTGATTTGTCCTTTTCATATGTGTTCATTTTTTTAATTGTATCCTTTGGTATATATGGTTGTGACTATTTTCTTCCACTATTTGATCTGAGGAAGTGGGTCTGGCCCACAAAAGCTCATCATCTAATAAACCATCTTGTTAGTCTTTAAAGTGCTACATTGTCCTGCATTTTAAAAATGCAGCATTGATATTTCAGGATACTTCCAGCAATGCAGTCATACCCTAAGGCTGTGTCTACACTGGCCCCTTGAATTTCTGGAAAAGCACTGACAATCTAATGTAAAATCATCAGTGCTTTTCCGGAAAAACTATGCTGCTCCCGTTCGGGCAAAAGTCCTTTTCCGGAAAACTGTTCCAGAAAAGGGCCAGTGTAGATAGTAGAGATTTCTTTTCCGCAAAAAAGCCCCAATCGCGAAAATGACGATCGGGGCTTTTTTGCGCAAAAGCGCGTCTAGATTGGCCATAGATGCTTTTCCACAAAAAGTGCTTTTCCGGAAAAGCGCCCTGCCAATGTAGATGCGCTTTTTCCGAAAATGTTTATAACAGAAAAGTTTTCCGTTATAAGCATTTCTGGAAAATCATGCCAATGTAGACATAGCCTTAGAGAGGCTGGTTTGTCAGTGAACTTATTTCCATTATAGTTGGACTGTAAGTAGCAGGATTTTTTTTAGGATTAATTTTAGAAGTGTTCGTCAATTTATCATCTAAACGATCACAACTGAAATATCACATGTTATTACGCTAGGTGCAACATAACTGTCCTTATCTACACTAGCTGCTTTGTGATGTTTAAAAGGTGTTAACTGAAACATGACAGTGAAAACATTTACTAACACACCTCATTTTCCCCATTGTAGACAAAGGCCAGTGGATCTTCTTGCAGAGTAAGCATGTCATGATCTGTCTTTACACATTTTTTTTTCTAGTTCAATGAAAGTTAGTCACCAGGACATTCAGGGGGAAATAGCACACTTTCATAAAACTATACCAACCACAAGAACAAATAGTTGAGAACTGACTAAATCCAACCTTGGTTTCCAACCTGTTTGAGAACAGGTTTTTATTGGAATCATCTGGCTCAAATAGTCTGTGGTCTGTTCTTCACAAAAATATGGAAAAAGCTACATCCTAAAACAACAATATGGGAATATTTTGTAAACCCTGGATTACCACATAAAAGGAAAAGCACCACATAAGAACATAAGAATGGCCATACTGAGTCAGACCAAAGATCTATCTAGCCCGGTTTCTTGTCTGCCAACAGTGGCCAATGCCAGATGCCCCAGAAGAAGGGAACACAACAGGTAATCCTCCCATGATCCCTCTCCTCTCACCCATTTCCAGACAAACAGTAACAGCCATTGATGGACCTAACCCCATGAAATTATCTAGCTGTTTTTTAATCCCAATTAAAGTCCAAGCCTTCACCACGTGCTCTGGCAAGGAGTTCCATAGGTTGACTGTGTGATGAGTGAAGAAAAGCTTCCTTCTGTTCGAACAGAACAGGTAATCATCATGTGATCCCTCTCCTGTCATTCATTTCTAGCCTGTGATGGCTCTTTTTGAACCCTGTTAAAATCCTGGCCTTCACCACATCCTCTGGCAAGGAGTTCCACAGGTTGACTGCGCTGAGTGAAGAAATACTTCATCTTATTTGTTTTAAACCGGCTGCCTACTAATTTCATTTGGTGACCCCTAGTTCTTATATTGTTTGAATAAGTAAATAACTTTTCCTTATTCACTTTTTCCGCACCAGTCATCATTGTATAGACCTCTATCATATCCCCCCTTAGTCTCCTCTTTTCTAAGTTGAAAAGTCCTAGTATTTTTAATCTCTCTTCATCTGGAACCCATTCCAAACCCCTAATCATTTTTCTTGCCCTTTTCTGAACCTTTTCCAATGCTAATATTTCTTTTTTGAGATGAAGAGAACACATCTGTACACAGTATACAAGATATGGGTATACCATGGTTTTATATCGAGGCAATAAGATATTCTCCATCTTGTTCTCTATCAATTTTTAAATGATTCCTAACATTCTATTTGCTTTTCTGACTGCCGCTGCACATTGTGTGGACGTCTTTAGAGAACTATCCACAATGACTCCAAGGGTATGTCTGGACTACATGGCTTCGTCGACGGAGACATGTATATGAGTTTACTAGACATAGGAAAATGAAGTGGCGATTTAAATAATCGCCACTTTATTTACATAAAAATGGCTGCCACACTGTGCCATTCAGCTGTTTGGTGGCACAGCGGGCAGTCTGGATGCTCCATGGGCAACAATGGAAGCCTTTGTCGACCGCTCTGGTAAACCTCATTCCATGAAGCATAATGGAGCAGTTGACAAAGGCTTCCATTGTCGACTGTGGAGCATCCAGACTGCCCTGCTGTGCCGCCAAACAACTGATCGGCACAGTGCGGCAGCCATTTTGATGTAAATGAAGTGGTGATTATTTAAATCGCCGCTTCATTTTCCTATGTCTAGTAAACTCATCTACATGGCTTCGTCAACGGAGCTATGTAGTCTAGACATACCCCAAGAGCTCTCTCTTAATAGTTGTAGCTAAATTAGTCTCCATCATGTATGTATAGTTGGGATGATTTTTTCCAATATTCATTTCTTTACATTGAAAACATAAAATTTAATTTGCCATTTTGTTACTCAATCACTTAGTTTGGTGAGATCTTTTTGAAAATCTTTACAGTCTGCTTTGGTCTTAACTATCTTGAGCAGTTTGGTATCATCTGCAAATTTTGCCACCTCACTGTTTACCCCTTTCTCTAGATCATTTATAAACAAGTTGAATCAGATTGGTCCAGGGCAGACCGTTGCGGGACCCCAGTAGTTAACTCTACTTAGATTGGGTCAGATAACCTTAACTTCACTCTACACTGAGAATTTTTTAATCAAAGTTTGAACCCATGGTGTTGCAATTCACATTGCAGTACATAAACCAATATCAAACCAGTACTCTCCCAGGTCCCCAAGGACTGGCTAGAAATATGGTCCCTCTAGTCCTTTGACAAGGCAGCACCAGAAAAGAAAACTTCACTGCTAAGCCTGAATATTTTGGGAAGTTTAAACAACCCACCAACACAGCTTGCTGAATAGTCAGTTTGGTCTGTGTGATTCCAGCTTCTGTAGTCAGCAGCATAGAACACCATCTTTTAGAGAACTTCCCTTCCTTGCAGTCTTATTCCTGTGACAGGAAAGAGGCAGAGCTCCTATGAGCTACCACTGGACATTTTACCAGCATGGACACATTTTCTGACTTACCAAAGACCCCTGACATGGTTTATGACGGAGAAGAATGAGGAGGCTATCTCTCACCTTGCAAACTGAGAGCAGCTGAGGCAGTTCTGAACATATTGGCTACGTTTACACTGGCACCCTTTTCCAGAAATGCTTAAAACAGAACAGTTTTCTGTTATAAGTATTTTCAGAACAAGAGCGTCTACATTGGCAGGATGCTTTTCCAGAAAAGCCCTTTTTCCGGAAAAGCGTCCATGGCCAATGTAAACGCGCTTTTCCGGAAAAAAGCCCTGATCGGCATTTTCGCTATCGTGGCTTTTTTCCGGAAAAGACTACTGTGCTGTCTACACTGGCCCTTTTCCAGAACAGTTTTCCAGAAAAAGGACTTTTGCTCTAGCGGGAGCAGCATAGTTTTTCTGGAAAAGCAGCTGATTTCTTACAGTAGATCGTCAGTGCTTTTCCAGAAAGTCAAGGGTCCAGTGTAGACAGCTCGCAGCTTATTCCAGAAAAGCGGCTGCTTTTCCAGAATAAGTGGCCCAGTGTAGACACAGCCATTTTGTCCTCCTCAAGGAGCGTGTAAGCAGCTAAACGACAAAAGGTCTTGCTGCACTGTTGCAAATCCTTATGGACTGTAGAAAACCATTTAAGAATGTCAAGGTGGGCTGCACTTGATCACCATTTGATCACCAATTGAGAGTCTGGATGTGGACGGAAGTTGAGCAGAAGAAATTAGAAAGAGGGGCTCCCAAATTCAGAGGAAAATTGGACAGAGATGCTACTCCTGTATCAGAGGTAGAAGCATGAGGTGGCAGACAGATAATCTGTACAGGGAGCTGGTTTTACAACTGGATCCCCTGCCAGACTGGCTTCCACCTGCCACCCCACACTGTTGCCTCTGTATCTGGGGGAAGGAGGCTGGAATGCACCGGTTGACAGTCCCACCCCCAGGGACAATCAAATAGTCATGTAACCACTAAGATTTCACATAGTTACATGACTATTCAGTTGCACATTATCTAACATCCCTACTAGATTATGGAATTTTCCGGACCATGGGTGTTCATGTATGTGTAACCCCTGCACCTAGGCTATGTCTACACTGGTGGCTTTTTGCACAAGAACATCTTGCGCAACGGTTCTTGTGCAAGAACTCTTGTGCACGAACACATTCACACAGTGCCATGTGCTTTTGTGCAAGAGCATTCATGGCAGTGTGGATACTCTCTTGCACAAGACAGCTCTGATGGCCATTTTAGCTATAGGGCTTTGGTGCGCAAGGAACCCCTGTTGCCAGTCCACACTGCCTCCTTGTGGAAGAGTTCTTGCACAAGAGGACTTATTCCTTGTGGGGAAAGGAATAACTCTTGTGCAAGAAGCCCTGTTTTCTGACGCTTTACTGTTCATTTACTTGCACAAGAACTTGCATGCAGTGTAGACACCCTGCAAGTTTTTGCACAAGAACAGCTGTTCTTGTGCAAAAATCCTGCAGAGTAGACGTAGCCCTAGTGTGATTCACTGTACCATATAGTGGCTCTAAGACCACTTACAGGGAGAGATAAAACCAAGGGAGCTCTAGTGCCTAACCTAAGTGGCAGCTAGCTTTATAGCTCAAGCTGCAGCGGCACCTACGCTAAACTCCACAGGCCTTAGTTCAAATGTGCCCTGTTATGGTTATATATGCTTTTTGTTTTGAAGGTAAAAATACAAATATTTTGTAAAATACTGATTTTTTATTTCCCATGTAACATAGACCGCAATACCTGCAGCCTAAGTCTACACTGCAGGTTTCTTGCACAAGAGTACCCATGGCAGTGTGGACATTCTTTTGTGTAAGAAAGCTCTGATGGCCTTTTTAGCCATAGGGGTTTCTTGCACAAGAAACCCCTGTTCTCATCCACACTAGCCTTTTTGCACAAGAGCTCTTGCGCAAAAAGGCTTATTCCTCGTGGGGAGAGGAATAACTCTTGTGCAAAAAGCCCTCTCTTCTGACGATCCACTGTAAACTTTCTTGTGCAAGAACGGGTCTGTAGTGTGGATGCTCCACAAGTTTTTGCGCAAAAACGGCCATTTTTGCACAAGAAGCCTGCAGTGTAGACATAGCCACAGAGTCTGGAAGGGAGGGAGAGTGAAGAAATACTCTGGAGGCAGGGGGCAAGGTCTACCATGGAGAGAGGGTGTGTGAAAGGGATAGATATGAAGGGTCTGGGCATGAGGGGGTGGGGTGCTTACCTGGGACAGCACTGTGGCTCTGTGCTGGCCGCCCCTTCCACTCTGTAGTAGTGGCAGGGAAAAAGCCTTTGGAGAAGTGCTTTGCTGTATTGCTGTTCCCTCAGCTGGGGGGTGGGAGAGCACTCAGCGCTGCTTCCTCCTAGGGATCACAGAAACCTGCATTAGGGAGCTTCAAGTGTATTTCTGTGTCTCTGTATAGCCTCCAGTATCGGGGTTGTTTCACTGTAGTTGGTGAAATGTGTGTCTGTTACAGACACAAAATACATTTCCCTATTTGAGCATAGTCTTACCTTTAGGGTCATTGATGATCTTTCCGGAAAAGACACATAAATGTCGATAGGACAACAGTGAGGTTTAATATTTAACATGTGGCTCCTGTTTTCACTTTCCCTGGTCAGAGTTCAGCCCTTTTATTCAGTAATATTCAAAGTGTGTGATTCAGGCACATTGGCATATCCCATTCTAATCCCTTGCTTTTTATGTACCCTGGGACTGAGGAACAGAGAACCTTCTGGATTCTGGTGCAGTTTGATTCACTGAAAAAGGTAGGGGCCTCTGCTTTAATTTTAACCCCTCTCCTTGTGCTAGTGGGTGCAGCTCCATTAGCTTCAGGGGAGTGCTGTCTGTTTACACCTGCAGGAACAATGTCCTATTTATCTATTGCAAATTTTAAAATCAAAAGTAGTGTTTGGGAAGCACATTAAGAAGAATTGATGGCTGGAATCTGTAACGGAGTTCATAGTAGGAAGAATGAAAGATAAATGATAATTCTTGGGACAAATGTGTGACCTCCTTATTGAAAAATTCCATTTGTATTTGGTTTAGTGAGCAGACTGAGGTTTGACCAGCAGGTAGAGCAGAAGGCTACAGTATAGGCTGCTGGGGGTTCTACAGTCCATCTCTGCTGATTATCTATTCTTTGATAATGGGCAAGTCATGTGGTAATGGCTTTGGATTTTAGTGTCATCAGAAACAAAATAACAATGAAAAAATGTATATATTGTATAAAGTGCTTGAAATGCTCATTTTGGATTGCACTTTACTAAATTAATTGTTGTGGATAGTTAATTATTTGTTTGTTTGTTTATATGTTGTTCTTTGATTGTCTCTAAAAGAATAAGTTGTAATAACAGCTAGAGGTCCAATATTGAAATAAACCCACTTTCCTAACAATCTCTTAACTAGCTAAAGATGAAAGAAAGTATTTCAGGATACTGCTTTCATATAAGAAACAAGGCATAGAGGCTCATTATAACATGGATGCCAGAATTTGCCTTCATTTAAAACCAGGCATGCTGAGTTTGCGGAAGTTGCACAATTATCAGGGGAACGTGGCCTTGTGCTTTTTATTTCTTCATGACCTGATTCTTCTTAAAGTTAGCAGAGAAAACACCATCATACTAATGTTGTTAGGTTGGTATGAGACAGTAGGAGAGGGAAATGAAATCATTAGTAAGTACTTTGCCTTTTTTTTTTTAATAACAGACCTTGTGAAATACATTGAAGAAAATTAACACTCATAGATCAGATGTTACTAAAACTAAACTATCGCATAAAAATGAACTTAGCAAATGTTCTGTCTGCTCTTCCATTCTAAGAGTACGTCTACACTACATGCCTCTGTCGGCAGAGGCATGTAGATTTGTTTATTCAGCAAAGGTAAATGAAGCCGCGATTTAAATGATCGCGGCTTCATTTACATTTAAATGGCTGTCACACTGAGCCGACAAA